AAGTCCTAAAAATTTCAAATGTCTCTTTCTGATTCTAATTGTAAATGCCCTTTTTGTTTCCATTATCCATAAAAATTCTTCGCATCCTAAATGCTCATTTCATGGGATTCTCATTACTCTTCTGTAGAAACATAGCCATATTATTTTTTATTTATCTGCGTAGAAATTTCCCAGAATTCACTGCCATATAGGAGGGTGGATTTTTCATATGAATCCAGCGAAACTTTCTTTCTTTTTAATAATTTTTTGTACTTAATACTTTAAATTAGTGTTGTAGCATACCTACGAACGATAATGGTTATCCCCCCATTCACATAAATACAGTAGTAAATACCGTATGTTAGTCTGCAGTTGGAGATTCGTCTCCAGCTGTGCTGGTCAAACTCTATGCTTTCGATCAGAGAGGATCCCAAGACGAGGCTATATCGAAGGGCAGAGTCTCGTCTCGAGAAACAGGTACCCGACCCCGTTTTATATGCGGTCTACGGGGTATTTTTGGTCGAAAATATTCCAATTATAATACATATTTAAATAATTAGTATCTAATTTCTATTAATATCAAGGCGTTTCTCCGTGTTATATTATTGCGATGGAAGAAATGACAAAAATAAGCCAAACAAATTAATTCCAAAAATGAGTTATTATGAATAATCAAGAGTGGTCTCCCGTTGTTTGCTACTCTCCTCTTTGAGAGAACAATTTCTGTTTACTGGGGCTATAAAAGGACATTATAGACGAAACTTGTATTCTCAGTTGGATAAAACTTTCTTAAAGCTTACACTTGTGTACTTTTGTTATTACATGAGTTATGCCTGAAAATACTTCCTATAAGGCACTGAAATATATGGATATGTCATAGAAGCATAACTGTAAGTATGTAGGGCTGGTTTCCTCAAACACAAACGGGGACACCGAGCATAAATTAACCTACCAATATGATATCCAGCAGGAGATGTGCAGCATTTGCAAAAGAGTGTGTGAGTCATCTGGTAGATCCACCCGGTATCATAAAAGAAATATGCAAATACTCAGATGAGTGATACAATACTCTCCTCTACTCTATGTACTATCGGTTGCAAACGACTTGCAGATATTATGATCGATTTAAAACATAATTAACGACACGGAAATCATCCATACAATGTTCTTTTAGGAAGTATATGACTTAGAATGGGTATTTGTCTGTCAGGAGTTGACTTTCACCATATATATATATATATATATATATATATATATATATATATAGATAGATAGATAGATAGATGTGTGCGTGTGTGTATGCGTGTGTTTGTGTATAGGCAGCAATATTTCTTTTTAAAGATATTTCGTTAAATGTGACAATGTAAATTTAATTAATTTTTATTTCGTATTTCCAACGCTCTTATATTTTTTTCCCGTTTAGTAGGAGTAGCGGAGTAATTTTCACTATTTTTCTTTATCCCAAGTACTTTCTGCCACTTCTTTAGCCATTTTCAAGTGTTTTTTTTTGTTTTTTTTCATTTTCTGTACTTAGTTTTTTCTCCATGTTCTTACACTTTATTTTATTTTTTATAGTGGTTTGAATAGGAGCCTTTATTCCGATAATTCACATTTTGAACGTGGCTGGAATTCCACTGACCGTTTTTACATTAAAAAAAAATAACCCTCCATTCTTACTGTTACGTAAGGTGAATTTGATAGTTGGAGAGATATTTTATATACAGGGCCTCCCTTATAGCGAGATGTTTCCGGTAATGTTTTCCACCAGACTTTTTCTTAAGTGTTCTTTTCAATTGTAGGTAGACAGATGCTTTTTTATATCACTTAGATCTGACAAGTTACACGTGAGGCGTATACTTAAGGAGGTAGTAGTATGTCCGATATAGGTAATTGATTTGCGACAAGAAGCGCAGACTCGTACTGGGCAGTGAAATTGATACCCTATATTAATCATCGCTATTTGATAGAGTCATTTTGATTAATGACAACAAGGTTTGTGGTTTTCCAATTTGTGTAATATTAAGTTTTATATTTTTTTCGGAAATTACAGCTGAAATATGGGGTTTAAGGATTCTCCATAAAGTGAATTCTCCCTGCTTATAATATATCGTATATAATACTGTTGCAGTAAAATATTTTGATGTTTTCTATTGTCATATATATATATATATATATATATATATATATATATATATATATATATGACAACATTTCTCGGACATTCAGGCCGGTAAATGTTGTTTAATACTGTTTATTATAAACAGATCATTTACTTAAATATTTGTATCTACAAAAAGAATATATAAAAATAAAAATGTCTTAATATATATATATATATATATATATATATATATATATATACATTTCAAGAGGATAGAATCCAGGTAGAGTTTAATGTCCAGAACACAGCAAGAATATAATTTAAAAGCCTTGAGGGTTTTATATTACATATTCGGATCGTAATCACGATCCAATTCATCAGAACTAGAAATTCAAAATTTTGAATTTGTAGGTCTCATGATTTGGATCGTGACTACGATTCCGATATAATAAATTATAAATATGCAATATTAGTGTTTTTGAGCCTTTTATATTTTATATATATATATATATATATATATATATATATATATATATATATATATATATATATATCAAGATATGTCTCACAAAATTGTCTGCTTATTTTAAATAGGATCTTCTCGTAAATATCCTTATTAAAGGAAGAAAGAAAATTAAAATGTTGATGCATATTCACTTTATTTCGAGTACTTCAATATTAGCACAATGTCGTAATCAGGGCTTTGTTTTTTCTAAGACAAAAAAATATTGTATTCATTTGAAAAGTAAATTTTGTACGTGTGAAGTGAAAAACATTAAGTTTATGTACTGTAAAATCTTAAAATCGTCCAGGTAAGTAACTAAAATATTGAAATGTCTAAACATTAAACTATTAGTTAAAACCTAGATATTTGTAACTATCTATTGTAAACATTTTAAAACATTTGTGCAGTATTCATAATTCATTTTTATTAGAGTTTGGTTTCAATTTTTTAAAATACTTATCTTCAAGAATTTTGGGTTTATGTTTATTATTTTCATGAGAAATTATAGATGTATTTTCAACAATATTTTCCTAGATTGTTAATGTGAACAGACATGCTGTTGTACAATTTGAGAGATGTTAGATGTCTCATTCAAATGAAAAGTCAATAATGATACCAAGAAACTTGCCTATAATTACTAGTGGACCATATTAAAAATAAGTAAACAAAACTTGTCTAAATGATTTAATGAAAACATGCTTCCAAAATATGCACTATATATATATATATATATATATATATATATATATATATATATATATATATATATACTGACCACTTTAAGGTTCCATGCAATAAATTATTTCTGTTATTTCTGTGGTCTGTTTATATTTAAATTATTTGCTCTGAATTTACATTGAGCTCTCTGGATTTTATCCTCCTTTGCTTTACCCATACGGATTACCTAGTTTTTCATAAACTAAATACATACATACATATACATCCATACATACATATATATATATATATATATATATATATATATATATATATATATATATATATAATATTAAATTAAGAGAAATTAAACATGAATTGAAGGGACAAATCAGAATTGGAGAAAAATGTCGTGTCTCCTCTGAGTAACGCTGCTCTGAAATCCCGCATGGCACCGAGTGCTGTACAATCTCCTCAAATACTAAGATTCAAACGACATAAATGCTGTTCTACGGAAGGTTGATGAGGATAGAATGGACACATCATGCAAGCAACAACGAAGTTTGACAGAAAATAGAAATAAAAAGGAAACTTATATTTAACATCAAAAAAGAGACAGTAGATCTTTCTTGGTCACATCATGAGGAAAGTGGGCTTGGAAAATCTGATACTCACACCAAAGTTTGAAGTAAGAGAGACAACGGAAAAGAACACCTAACATACTTAGTGTTGTTTGAGTCGGTACAGGGTTTAGGATAAATAACAAAAAGTCAAAATTTATTAATATTTACAAAGGAGAAGAAGCTACCCAGAGCCAATATCGCTTAAATGCTGAGAAGACACGACACTTTTTCTCCAATCTGCAACTAATACAGCCTTCTACTCAGTGAGCTATCATTATCCACGGGTTTTTACGTGAAACTCAAGAAGTGATTTTGTCCTATTTAAAGAAAGACGAGGGCTTTCTACATCACTGCACTAATATACACATCGAGGAGCACCTCGAGGCGATGTAATAGCCTGCTTGTCTCGCTAGAACAATTACGACTGTATAGTGAGTTCGATCCACACTGGGCGCCCCTTACTTTCGGCCATGTGCCACATCTAAGCTACGCTTGGAAAATCGCGAATATACGCATTTAGACAAATCGCATTAATGTTTCTTTACACTTACTTCGGTGAATATATGACTATTGATATTGTATACAGATGTTTTTGGGACGCGCTTGTAAATTCTAGATTTGCGCCATATTTGATGAAAAAAGATTTGGTCTATATTTTAGCGATTTCCTAATACAGTTCAATTTAAATCAGAATAGAAAGAAAGAAAACATTCACGCGACACCAAAGGACGAGAAATAGTCTTCGAGTTTCGTTCGAATTCTTTGCCTCATTCTTGCCAGCCTTTACAGTCTTCTGCTTCATTTCCTAAACTGCTATATTCAATGATGAGAATTCCTCTTTGTAAATTCACCATATAAAACCGACACATCATTACCTTCCGTGGAGAGCAGGGTGAAATGGTATTTGGCTTTGTGCAACACTCCATCGCCTCGGAAGATTTAAAAACATCTATTTTTATTGCCATATGAAACCAGTTAAGTGAGAAAAAACTCTACACATCATAACCTACCTTCAAATATAAGAAACTGAACACTCACAAAAAAATTACCTTTAAACTAACATCATTGCAATATCCTCTTATTTACGTCACTTCCTTCTTCCTCTCTCTCTCTTTCGTTATGTATGCCTCTTCCTATGTATCTATTTCTCTTTTCACATCTATCTATCTATCTATCTATCTATCTATCTATCTATCTATCTATCTATCTATGTCAGTCTGTTCATATCGATTTGTCTATCTATCTCGTGTATGCCCGTCTTCTACAGCGACTAACCAATTTCTATTACAAACGCCTGGAGTCCACCTTTGTTTTCCTGTTAACTCAACCATCTTCGAACAATTTCGTCGACACAGTTTCACTCACAAGTCTTAAATACGCCAACATTCTCTCTGTCGTTATCTATCTATCTATCTATCTATCTATCTATCTATCTATCTATCTCTATTCTATCCCATTCTATCTATTCTATTCTATTCCATTCTATCTGTATATTCTATTCTATTCTGCCTACTCCGTTCTATTCAATCCATTCTATCTATCTATCTATCTATCTATCTATCTATCTATCTATCTATTCTGTCTACTCTGTTCTATTCAATATATTCTATTCTATCTATCTATAAAATTCTATCTATTCTATTCCATTCTATCTATCTACGCTATTTATTTATCTATTCTTTTCTATCTATATATTTTATCTATTCTATCCATTTTATCTATCTATTCTATTCTATCTTTTCGTTCTATTTTTTCACGATTGTTCTGCTAATACCAAACTTCAGTACCACACAAGGGGCAGTTTTTGTAATGTTGTATAGTCAAAGAACAATTAGTATATGTTGTTATGAGTATATTTAGTATAGATCATCTTTGACTTGAATGATCGCCATCAAGGAAACATCCGCTAGGGTTTTTGTTCCTTAAAACAACAGTTCTATCATATCTATTGATTGTATCTCAGGTGATTTTTTTCTGACTCTATACTTTGAATTCTAGCTAAGAATTCTCTCTCTCTCTCTCTCTCTCTCTCTCTCTCTCTCTCTATATATATATATATATATATATATATATATATATATATGTCTGTTTCTGTTTTGCTCATTTCCCTCCTTTTCTAGTTTTATATTTTTTATTGTATTCTTATCTCAGTTGCTATAACAATCTCTCAATCTATTTTCCTTTGAATTTATATCTCACACACTCTCTTTATGCCTCTATCACACACTCTTTCTAATTTTAATTGTTCCCCCAGAGACATTTCTTTTAAACCTACTTTCCTCTCTAGCTCTCTCTTCCTCTCTCTCTCTCTCTCTCTCTCTATATATATATATATATATATATATATATATATATATATATATATATATATATAATGAAGCTACGTATACTTTCTTAATATGTATATATAGAAAAAGTTTCAAATTGAAAATTATAATGTTTTATTTTATGAAACTATTTATTTATTTATATATATATTTGATATTTCAAATTGTCCTCAATTTTTCATCAGAAATAACTGTTTGTTACAAATAAATTAAAATTACTGTTTGTTAGCAAGTAGCGTCCTTCGCGAGACACCAGACGTCACGTGATATGGAACGTCACTGTTCGGATATTCTAACTTAAATCTAACTGTCATAAATATTTAAAAAATTTTTTACTATATCTAAAAAAAATTGCTTAACTATTGAAATATTTATAAAGATTTAAAACACCTAAGTCCCTATTCAACCCTAGTTTATTTGTATTTAATTTTAAAATCCAATATGTTTCTTTTTTTCTGCGTGTGAATGTGGAAGTAAAATCGGAATCTATTAATAAACATTTGCAGTTTTCTAATGTGTGTCCTGATTGATTGTAGTGCTATGGGGGAATAAGGGTTGTTTTGACGTATTATTTGTTTATGGTTATTAAAACGAAATCTAAAATTGTTTCCAAACTCACCAATATATCCACTATTAGGACATAAGTTGCAGAATAAATAATAGATTACGTTATGGGTATCGCAGGTGAGGTTAGGTGGCTGTATTCTGATATTGGTGTTGGGTACGGAAAATGTATTAGCTATTATTAAATGTTTGCAAACTAAGCAACGAGGTTTGTTACATTTGTAATTTCCTGTTTGGTTTCTATTGTTTAGATATTTGGTAGAGGTGAGGATAGCTGATAAGTTAGGTTATTGTTTCATAGCATTTATGGGTGGGTTATCGAAAATGTCTTTGATCTTTTTGTCTAATTGGAGGTTCTTGTAATCATTTTTTAAATTGTGAATAAGTGTGTGGGAATACTGATTGTGTTTAAAAACCATGGGAATCCGATTGTTGTTTTTATTTTTCTTGTATGTGAGAAGTGTGTTACGATTTATCAGGATAGTTTTATTTAGTGCTTCTTTTATTATTTTTATTGGGTATTTGCATTTTAGGAATTGTTTTGTTTGAATTTAATTTGATGTTTGTTGGAGTTTTGGGTATTTTCTATGAAATAGCCGATTGATGATAAAATTATTTAAATTGAAGTAACCTTTGATAATTGTGTAGGTATCTAAAAACAGTTTATTTTATTAACAAAACTCAAACGAGTTAATAATCAACAAGAAAAAAGTTTAGGAAAATAAAAAAAAGATTACTAGATGTAAAATGAATTATTCTTTCAATGTACTTTCTATGAATTTTTTCCAATCGACTATTTCATAGAAAATACCCAAAACTCCAACAAACATCAAATTAAATTCTTCGTAGATTTTGTAGACATTTAGATTTATATCAAACTTTAACCCCCAAATATACCCTTTAAAATAATGCGAAATAACAGAGTCCAAGAAATTAAGTGAAACCTTCTCTCATCAGGATCGTTTTATTGTATCCTCTTCCTTTTATGTCGGCTTTCCTCTTCACCACTTACCCATCCATATCTAAAGATAACATAAGTCAAGTGGAGCGTTTGTCTGGCCCACACCAAGTGGGGTTAGGGATAAAGAATTGAAATGGTAAATCTAACTCACTCATGTCCTCTCTCCCCCCTCACTTCCTCACTTCGTTAATTTACATAGGCTTAATAGGGCCCGTCAAAAATGTGTAAATTTATTTTCATTTTTCATTTCATCCTTTGGAAGTAAGTCCGATGATCCAGAGCCCTTTAAAAGGGCTGTGGTGAAATAATTTATTACATGGAACCTTAAAGTGGTCTGTTTTTATTCAAACAAATATATATATATGTGTGTAAAATATTCCTGCAGACTATTTGACAGGACTGTCTATATTTCTGAGATGAGGTATTATGCACATTATTTACTTTATTCGGACTATTGTCCTCATCTTTTTGTCATATTTATCACCCTTTATTTCGCTAACAGGAGATAACTGATAACTGACATCCATTAAACATGGCACGTGGAACTAGAACAGTCTACCCCTGTGAGCGAATTAAATGGTTCAGTTCGACATTCCAACCACCCGAAGAAGGCCGGAGCGTTCAACGGCCGAAACGTTGTGATAAATATGGCGACATAGATGTGGACATCAGTGCGAATGATGTAAATAAAGTATTTGACACGACCTAATTCAAAAGTTATTTTAACAGGTGATGGATAAATTCTCTCCCATGCAGAATTCTGTTTGGATTTCCCGTTTGTGTGTGTGTGTGTGTGTGTGTGTGTGTGTGTGTGTGTGTGTGTGTGTGTGTGTTTTGCCTGGTCTCAATAGGACATGGGCGGTCATGGCCCCCCAAAGATTCTTATTTTCTTCAATATGACTTAATATGAAAGATAGTGAAGCGCCACGCCGTTTTCCTTCTCTACAGTTTTGAACTTGAATAGTTTTTTACTTCATAAAGGTTTGCTAACCATTACACCACCTCGAAGTCCCCACACTTAGACAAGCTTATCCTCCACACTGTACGTTCCAGCTTATCCTACTTTTTAACCCATAGCTAAGTGACGAAATGAGAGAATGGATTCAACGGTATTTAGGCGAAAGGTAATCTAACAAAATGTGCATAAATAAACTCCTGCACTTGACAGACAAATAACCGTCAAGCTATCCACACAGAATTTATCATGACGCAAAAATTTTATAAGGCAGACTTAAAGAAATTTAAATGTAAAACATCAATGGATTTTGTTCTTTGATCTTGATAATATTCAAAAGTATTTTTGAAACCATGTGTTTTGAACAAAACGAACACTGAATTCGGATGTATGTTTTGTTGCACGTAAACAAAATATCTAAATAACATAGCTGTTGTTATTGTTATATATATATATATATATATATATATATATATATATATATATATATATATATATATATATATGCAGGTAAAAGAGAAAATATATCTCAGTGTAATAGTGCGTAAATAAATGACAATATGGTAAAAGATATTTCTTAGTAAAGAGATACGTTACGAGAAGAAAGTCTTTAGAATAAGCCGAATTTTATTGATTGAATCAGTTACATACGGTGGAATCTCCCGTTGTATTTGACTTATGAGTGTTACACAGTTTAGATCCTAGGATCCTACAGCCCAGACACCAGCACATATGATTTGATTATAGCGGCGAAGGGTTTGTGCAGAACCAACCACAGTTTTTGAAGGGCATAACACAGAAATCTGGTGTACTACGTGCCACAAAGTCCAGTCCTCCGCAGGTTTTTAATTCAGTGTGATCCTTCTCCTAGGTCAGTTGCCATCCAAGTCTATAGAAGCCAGTATGTTCTGCTATTTAACCATAGCTGGAAGAAGAAGAGGATTAATACCTTTCCCAAGGGTATTAGCAGATGAGTGAATGTAATGGAATCGATTGGATGTACGTGGCACAAGGCCGAGTTTAACGTGGGTCCTCCGGGCCTGTATGATTGGCCAAAAATATTCCATTTAAATCCGCCTAGATGGGTTCAGGGCCTGTTTACCTCCCCGGACGAAACTTTGTCGTGCGGCAAAGCTTTGTCCGAGTTCTTCTCTGCTGAGGCAGACAGTTAGACAGTCGGACAGTCTATGCGACCGTTCCTCTAAACCAATCTTATAGTAGGTGATAGAGTCTAACATAGACTCTTTAGAGGTAGGAAAACACAACAGATAAATATTAAGAACAGTATGTATGACAAAGTGTATAAAGTTTACTTGTGACGCGTTTCGTCCTTCAGGCCTTCATCGAATTGACTTTATACGCATGCTAACGAACGAGGGGTGATGCGATTTTTTTTTATATATCTTGCCAAATTCATTTAGAGTTCTTCTTTTTCTTCACAATATTTTTGTTGGTGTCTATACCACATTGTAATATTAGAAGTCCTGCCAAGCATGGTTAAATTGTACTTTTTTGATTCATTGTGTTTGTCCGGTGGAGCCATACAAGTCCACGTATTGTGCAACAGCGAGGATATCGGGACATAGTCATAGGAATTTTTGCTGAAGCTTTTTACTGTTGCCTTTTGTCGCTTCATTTTGAAATTTCTGATACCATCTAAGTACAAATATCTCCAGTTATTTCTATCGAGGGAAACTCGCTCATTGACAGCTGAAAGGTTACATTTTAGAATGTTTAATACCTGATCCATGTCCGCATGGCAGGTTCTGGTTGTTAGAAAACCCCCAGCAATTAATACATACATATATATATATATATATATATATATATATATATATATATATATATATATGTACGCACAAACACGCAAACACGCATACATATGCATTTATATACATGTGTGTGTGATTAAAAATTACGTCCATGAATACCACATCTTCTACTCTTACTCTTCTCTCTCTCTC